AATTATAGAAATGCACCATCAAAATTTTGGTCTGAGAGTTGGTATGAGTATAAGAAACGTATGGCATCGGCATTGCCTTACACTGATCTCACAGGGTTATTTTACCTCATTTCAGTTGCTGCATTACCTGTGTTTTATGGATCCGAGTTTTCACCCCGGCTGGTAATACTCAGCTAGGAGGTCGTGGATTATAGTGTCGATAGTTTAGGCCCCTCCCGGAATTTTGTCGCCGGGCTGGGCCATAGGCTAAAGGAATACGGAACAAGGAAGGAAAACATTTTGGTATTTGGGGGAATTAAACTGACCTAAAACTAAGGGGACTATCGTATTTCTTGTGTTACTTCCTGTCCGTCTCGTTTATGTCACTGCTGAGATTATGCTGAAAAATCGGTAACCGCTTTAGAATTGTTTGCCCCCCCTGTGAGATACTGAATCTTGTCTTCAGTACCGAAGTGTTGCCGACCACGACAAGCCGTTAGCAGTGCCCCTCTTACTTTGTGGAAATTCAACCCCTCATGCCAAGTACCAACTTCATAATATGCAGTTGTTTAGCCAGTCGTTATTTTACTAGATGAAAATAATATACAAATATACACAAATTATTTTCTCCCACTGTGCGTAATCTCTAGTTGTCTTTAGTTGCCATTTTAAGGGCTGTATTTATTTTCTGTGTTTAGGTTACTTTTTAATTGCCTGCTCGATCAATGTTTTTTAAGGGACAGTTGTTTATTTTAGTTTCGTTTTAAACACTTTAATTTTATTGGTGCTGGCCTCATGCTGTTTTCAGTAATACTGATTGATTATTGTAAAGATTTTTGTTGCGAATGTACGTATTAGGTCATGCAGTAAATTAGTACCTTTCGGATTTTTGCAGGTAATGGCCCTTCCAGTTTTGGTTACTCGTTTGTTCATACTGTAGTTAGTCCGCCAGGTATGCTGTTACTTATCACTTAATTACTTCCGTATCCGTATGGTCTTTATTAGGAATTTGTACAACAGGTACAGTGATTTTACCTGCTCAGGTAGTAAATCTTGGCACTAATTTTGCACAGTATTTTCCTTGAACCACACTGTATATGAGCGATTTTTATGTTTATTTAAGACTTTTATTATTATTAGGTACACTTAAGAGCGTTTGAGTTCGTTCGAGTGCACATCTGTTCGATTGCCCTTCTGTATTGGTGCTATGGATGGCTTAGATAGTTATAAAATATAAAATTAAAATATTTTATAATTATAATGCATACCTTCAAATATTGTTAATATTATTATTATTTCAATTTTTTTCAAAAGTCAAATTATTATACACCGCTGTACAATAGTAAAAAGAATTAAATATACATAGAAATAGTGGTTCCATCTATCGCATTTAGCTTGAAATCAGTGCAGATAAATAAAAATTACACGCCATTGCAGAATAAATTCATACAAATTATCTATAATGTTACATATTATGTCAAACGTCTAACCTATGACAAAATATAGCAATCTCGACAATTTCAATGTAAGTGAGTAAAGAATTATTAAACGCTTAAAAAAATAGTATATACAACACGGTGGAAAAGGCATATTAACTGCCTCGCTTAGATCTTCTGCCTCGACTGGAACCTCGGCAGCGAACGCCGAGCTCTGATTTAATAAGTAACTAGTTCGTAAAAAATGACAAATATATTTTTTTAAATACTATAATACTATACTATAATAATACAGTTATTTAAGTAAATACTTAAAACTTAATTCCTATTAATAAATCCTTTATTATCTTACATTTTAAAGCGTAAATCACCATTTACTATACTCTTATAAAACCGCTCCTTGTACTTAAAATTTACGACCCCACGACGCTTTTAAAAATGGTTTTGTTGCCCGCAACACGCTACTTATTTGAACACCCTGGCCAATATCATTATCCTTTTCCGTTCAATTGCAAGTTATGAACGATTCCCGTCTTAATATGGTTATAGCAGCTTTAAGATTTTTTATTATATGTTGGTGTTGTTGCAAATGAATTATAATGGAGTTGTAAATATTTATATCTTCATATTATAGCACTATCCAGCAAGGCTAAAAATATAAAATATATTTGTTGTTTTATTAGCTTTCTTTATTAAATAATAATAAAGCTTTTAGGTATAAATCCTTTGGTTTCAGACGGTCGGAGTTTACTTTGGTGCTTAGTTTTCCCGGTTTTGTTGTATGTACTTTCGTCATTTTCAAGTAAGATGTGGATAAAGTAAGATAATTAATTAGTAATGTATTTAATTACAAATTTACTTTACAAAGTATAAAGCGTATTTAGGATTAGGTGGATATATTATAATATTAAATATCACCTACGTTACCATGATTTTTTTGTTAAAACAATAAATGTTTTTGTTTTATAAATAATAGTATATTATGTATTAAGTTTGATAAACGTCATTTTATACACGAATTTAATTTAGGCACGAGCGAGCTTGCGAGCGAGTTCTTAAATTAATGAGTGTATAGAAAAGTTTATAAACGATGTGCATACTCTACTTTTTCTACGACAAATACTTATTATTATCTTAAAATGATTTAAATCAAAAATTTGTATAGAGCGCCATCTATGAAACAACAGGGGAAACTGTCAAATGTCACATTTTTACATTTTGTAAACACAATTGAATACGTCAATGCAGAAACTGAATATGTCCTACCTACCTAGTTTTGAGATAACTAAGAAAAACTGAATAACTTAGCGTTGCTTTAATGGATATCTAAAAATGTTTGGGATATGAAAGTAAACTATTTTGTAGATACGAAGACATGATTTGGAGTATTTAAAGTTTTGAATTCTTAGAGAAAAAAAATCACACAGGTTGTGGAGTATATAGTTTCTGCATTGATTGCTAATAAAATTTATAAAATATGTAATAAACCGTTTTAGTATCTAGTAAAAAATAAACATAACTTATTCCTAATGCAAAAATAAAAATAAAACAAATTCAATAATAACCTCATAACATTTTTTAAACATTTTCTGTCTTCCTCTTTTTCTTTCGTAGGCCACTGTAAGATATCCTGGTAAAATTCTTCATGTTCTTCATCAATATTCTGAAACAACTGACATATAGCTCAGAAAGTGAACATGTCCTATTATATTCAGTTTCTGTACTATATTAACGCCTTTGTATAATCTAGATTACCGTGACATGTGAAATTTCTACGCCATTCGATCGGGCACCCTTTTCTTATAGTAAATCCATGTTTAACTCGATTTTCCTAAAAAGTGGACATATTCAATTTCTGCATTGACCTATTCAATTATAAAGGTTATAAATCGAAATGTATATTGAAAATTGATAGTTTTTCACAGTGAAAGTAAAGGAAATGTTTTATGAGGATTTTACAGTAGAGTCCGTGTATAGGTGTTATAGTTTACTGCCGGCGAAATTAAAAGGTCAGTACAATGTTCATATAAACTTTTCAAATATTGGCGTTGAGAAACTATTTAATATTTTTGTATTTTTGTATTGAGATAATAAAATAATTTTCACATTTATTATTATTTTACAAGAAAGGCACTTTATTTTAACGATTGTATGACATTTGACAACTGTCAACTAACTTAAAACTAACTTCAGCCCGTGACTAAAAACCTGTTGCTAACTTCAGCCCGTGACTAAAGCGTCGTAAAGCCACAACTTGTCAATGTGTATTTAAAAGGTCACTTAGTGTCATGGAAACATGTACGATAAAGGGCGTTTTAAAGGTGGGAGTAGAAAAACATTTTTTTAAGTTTTTATACAAGAAATTAACTTTCTATCATCTCACAAATTAAATAACTTTTAAATTACAATAATGACAAAAAATGTAATCAAAGGCCAATCTTGAGATAGGACTACTTTCATCTCTTTGAATACATAACAACGAATAGAATCTCACTAGTCAGTGTTAGCATTCGACATTTTATTTTTGTGTCCGGTGTTAATTAACCGGGAGCAAGCTGGGCTTGCAATGCGTTATTATTTTAATCGGCTCATTGTTTACATGTACTCGTGTAATGTATTGATTAGCATTTTTATCCAATTTCTTTACTGCTATATAGCTGCCATAACTTATGTAGTTTGATACATCGCTTGATTTCCTATTTTTGTTTATATTAACATAAGTAAAATTCCAATATGTCGACCTTAGGATAAACAAAAGATAGGGGTAGTAACTCAAAATTTCGTAGGCGAAAAAATTTCAAATTGTATAAAAGTATATGTATATAAATGTGTATGTTTACATGTGAATTCAAAATTCCCAAGAATAACAAAGTTATAACAATGTTTTGTTTGACAGGTTTACAGTTTTTTTAAATTATTTGATAGACGCTAACTGTTTTATTCAATTTTTAAATGACAGTCTATTAGATTTGAAACTAGGCAACTTTTCTCAAATTTAGGCGACCTTTGTAGCTGTTTCAATAAATAAAAGATAATCATACATAAAGGAATTTTAAGGCCAATTTTCAAACTTTTTATTTTAATTTTACCAACCTTTAATAAAATCATACAGTTTTAACAAATAAAGACAAAAAATTAAAACAGGCTTGGTTCCAAAAATTCCGGACCCACCACCAGTTTCACATTTTTGTGTAGGTGCATAATTACTTTCTATATAGCAATAAAAAAAATCGAAAAATTATCTTTCAGCTTCTTTGTTACTCATTAAATTGTAAAATCAAAAAAATTAATAATTTTATAATACTAAACAAATTAGTTTCTTCTTCCAACGATACTTAGAAATTCTGCAAATTCGTTTCTATTAAGCCAATTTTACGGTATATATTATTAGGTGGTAAGAGTTGTTGCGCTATTGCAGTATCAAGCGTTAATAACGTGTTGACGGCAGCAATTGTGGGAAACCGCTGCCACCTCCATTCCTCCCACTCCCCGCGTTTTGGCAGCCGCAATGTCGAAACCATCGACCTCCGTGTATGATTATCGTAAACGCAAGTTATTCGTCGTCATTTGCTCGTCTTTTGAAATTCAAGACGCGTTCTGCTGCAAGCAGATTTCAATTCTGGTTATTTCCAATCGGCATGTGTCTAAAATCCACGCGTCACAAGCTTCACTAGCTTGTTTCCTGTCCCCTGGTTCTAAATGTTCACATGTCACACATAGGTGCTTTACATTGGCGTGCTTCCCCAACCCTTAATCCATAAGATTAATATAATTTTGATTGGCACAACAATTTTCTCTAAACAATGTTTATAATTGGTCTTACAATTACCTAAAACTGTTGGTACCCATTTTTGTATGCAGCTTTTAATGTTTACTTTTTACACTAAAGATGCCAACATCATTGGCGAAAAGTACTTTAGGCACTTTGTGTTATATTTTCTAATATTTGTTTATATATTTTTAATTGAAATTGTTTTTGTAGGTATTTTTTTTAGTATCGGCATGCTCAACAAATATTATAATCGTCATTATAAAATTAAATTGTCATTTAATTTTATTGTATGAAAATATTGTTAATATTGATTATACAGTACAATAAGTAAATACGTTAATTTTTTAAATCTCACATTAAAATTAAAAGTGTTGACTAAATTTTTTTCATGGAGTTGTTAGGGGAACTTTCTGTAAAAAGAAACTAAAAAGTTATTTGTGAATGCATTAAATAAAAGTGCGTTTATCGCTGGCTGTACATGATAGCATACAATATGTCTACATCCTTGCCTTTCGTAAACAGCAATTTTAAGAAACATCCGGAAGTTTTGCTATTAGTAGATTTTGTAATAAAATTACATTTAATTTTGGGATTATAGATTTTTAAAGAATTCTTAAAACACAGAAAGACTTTAAACTTTACACAGATTGTGCTGTTCCGTTAAAAATAGAAGTGAAGAAATATTTACACTTTAGTAAATAAGTAGGTACCTACTTTTTATTATTTTAAGACACTGCAGTATACTGATAAACGGCGTTTAAAATTAGTTTTTTAATATGTAGGTAATTATAATTTACAAAACGAATATTATTTCAAAAAATTTAAAATAAAAATTAAAAAACATTAAAAATATGAAACGAAGACTCTTGTACGTCTATGATTTATTTTTGAATTACCTCGTGCCTACCGATTTCCTTTTTATGCGCGATTTCTTTCTTGTGTGTGACTTTTAACTTATCGCATTTGCGCCCCCTTTAATGGAATATTCGATCTGATTAGATGTTTTTGACGAAAATTTCATGTCAAAGACTTGCATCCAAACTGTTTTGCAAATAAATATTTTAAAATTTTACTTTACTTTTGATTTTACTTAAATCTTATATCTTATTAAAACCTTTTAGAAATTTATTTTATATTACGAGGGACTGAAAATAAAATTTATGATAAATACGTATTGGACTATTTTTAGACTGTTTAAATTTTAAACTAGGTTGCTTGTCGAGATATCGTTATTTTAAGTTTTGCGGAACATATTTTGCTACCCGATTTTTTTATATTATTTTATAATAATAATTTGGTAAGTTTTCTCATAAAAGTCTTAACAAGTTATTAATGTATTGTTTTGTTATGATTTATTTTTGTAAGCAATCTTAAAAATAATTTGATAAATGTATTCAAAATTGACCTAAAATTAAAAATATAATCACTTAAATAATCATACCCATGCAAGGGCGCTTGGAGTGTCGCCAGCCAAAAGGCCAGAGAGGGGCAAAGGATATAAATCCATTTTTTGTTTCGATTTTTCCTTCCAATTTAGTCCGTCTAATCGAAACTCACTTGGGAAGAGAAATTTGGGGAAATGTTTCTTATTTTGTTAAAAAATTTTACGATGTTTTTTCGATTATTTTTATAAAAATTTTCCAGAATTTTTTCTCGAAAACAAAAACGAAATTGGGCAAACAAAAAACACGTTTAACGTGCTAAAAGATAATTCTTATCAGATTTGTTAACATGAGTTTATAGGTTGTTAAAGACGGTAGATGGGTTGGGTTGGGTAGACGGTAGATGGCACCACTTACTTTCGCCTATGATGATTGATGATTTCAAAACCTTTAAGGACGAGAAATCATAATTTCGTTTGTGTTCCGTACCATACAGCAACTCGGTACAGATGTTCCAATAAAGGGACACAGCTATTTATCAATGCTGGTGAGGAACACAAAGGAAATTAAAGAAAAGCGGAGAAGAAATAATTACATCAGTAAGTGTTGTAGTAGTACTGATAAATTATATTGTACCAAATATCTTTATAATTTGATGATTTCAGAATTATGTTATTTAATTGTGTGTATGTTTTTTTTGACTTCATTTATGTAGGTATGTGTTAATTTTTTTGTTTAGGAAATTGACTAAAAAAGCAAAATTTCTTATCAAAATTCTTTTTATTTAACTTCCGAAAGTTTTGTAAAAATACAAAATTACAAGAATTATGGTTAAAATATTGACATAGGATTTTTTTATTAAATCTAAAAATGTATATTATATAATTACAAACTACTTATTCAATTAGTTAACAGATTACAGTTGGTTGTAAACCTTACATAAAGTTATGTGGACCTATATTAACATAAAATCTAGTTAACATTTGGTTAAAATTAACATATATTTTTTTACTGTTTAGGCGGGATGCTGCCCCCCTTTGACGATGCCTTTGTATCCATATCCATACGTATATCTATATTCAAAAAGTAATACCAAAATATTAGTTATCCAATAAAGGTGCTTTAATTTTAATAAAACAAAGTAATAATAATAATCGGCTTTAATCTTTTTGATCATTTTTAAAACATTGTTCCAATATTCATCCTTAATATTTTTAACGGCCAGTATGATCCAGTCGGTTCAAATCTTGTTGTAAAACGTTAAAGGTTAAATTATTATTATAGTTCTGTAGAAATGACAGTAAACATGCAAAATATAATATCCGAATTGCAAACTTGAACCTTTACAGTTGGGAAAAATATATACAGGGTATTTTAAAAATCATGTACAAATGCTCGGCTGAAGATTCGTCATCCAAAAATAAAAGTTTATATAAACGTAGGTCCGAAAATGCTTAGTTTAAACATTAAAAAATCTCTTAAATATAGTTTGCCCAATTTTGTTAAAATTTGGTTTTTCATACTGATAAGGAGCCAATTTTTCTTTAACTAGATTAAAATTGTCAAATCCAGTGGGGTCCCGGGAGACACCTTAACAAATATTAATGAGAAAAAAAGTACGCCACTGACTTTTATGCAATTTTTATATTTGTTTATGATTAAACCACTAAAAAATACAACTTTTTTGTCTCTTAAGTTGTTTTTGTATCTTACCTTGTTTTCGTCAGAAAAAATTATTATTATTATTGCATGAAAAACGATAAAACGCATATTTCACACCTTTAACTACCTCCTAATATTTTTTGATAAATAAAGCCGTTTTGGAGAAAATTGACAAAACGAATAAATAACGTTGCCAATATTTTAACAAAATCTTGCAAACGATATTTAAGTAAATTTTAAAAAGCCATTTTTTTAAATGTTTTTTTTAAATAAGCATTTCCGGACCTACATTTTTATGTTGTTTAAAACACGGCCATTTCAAGCGGATGGACAGTACATATTAGAGTCATTGAGTAGAAAAATTAATTCCTATATTATTACGAATGTAGAGATTAAAATATTTTATTATACATTATATGCAAGGACCATAGTGCTATTTGATAAAATACTATTATGAGCCAAAATGCAACACTGAAGAATTTTGAGATAGACGGGACAATGAAATCTAATACATTTTTAAGCACATGTTTGTTAATTTTGTTCTGAATTTGACTTCAAACTGTATGTCAAAGATATTTTAAATCATCGTGTATATAATAATAGAGAAATGTATTATTTCGGGTTAAATTTTTTTATAGGTAATGTCACCAAGATTTTTTTTGGTGGGACGGACGGGAGAGGATGGACGGGACAAAATTTATCTATGATAAAACTCTGAAAATGTTTGTTTTGTTATTTATTTTGCAACATGTAACACAATATATCTATTCAATTTTATAACTATAAATCAGTAAATTAACCATTGCCATGAGATGTGGCAAAGAAATTCCAGGTGCCAGACACATTAAAATCACTTTGCCTGATGCAAAGACTTGACAAAGTATATTTGTTTTTAAATTTGCCTGCGCAACCATCACAAAAAATGTCAATACATTTTAAAGCTGAATAGGAGTTTCTCAGCCATTCAATGATATATTTGAGAAAAACCCAAACAGTAACTTTGTCGTGATCTAGATTATCGCTGACAAGGGCAAAGGAATGACACTTATCTTTTACCCAAGCCACAGCAGTAAATATAGTGACTTAGGGATGGCTCCAGTGGGCGCTCTGAATTTCATCCTGGCTAGTGCAGGAATAGTTTTTGATGAAATCCACTTGGAGAACAACTTTTTCTTCAGTCAATTCGGCTTTAGCGGATTCGAATTATTTTTCCTGCACAGTTTTTACAAAATGCTGAGTTTTGAACTGACCTAGTAATCCCTGCAGGGATTCAAGTGCCGCTTTTACTGATCCTGATATATGAAGTAGATGTGGTCTTCCAAGTGAATTTTGCCAGAATTTCCAGGTTATATTCAACTCAGTATACTCACTCAAAATTCTCAAAGGGACGAGCGTATATTCGATATCGTTCTCACATTCCTCGCATTTTCCATTCATACACTTACTTGCATCAATGTTGCAACACAAAGCTAGCAGTAACTCTTTAGAACTTTGTGGAAATGTTTTAATTTCTTTATGTATACTTTCTACTAGATAACTAAAGTTAGCATGATACTTACAAACGCACACACTGTGGGGCATCAAAGAGCTTATGTTTGGGCCGAAATTCATAAAATTTGGTTATCTTAACTTCTGTATCATGATTTTCTTCTAAAAATAATGCCTCTCTCACTGATAATGTCATGTGTCGTTTCTGCATCTTCACCTTCTCCTCTTGAGTTTTCACTGATACAACATCCCTTTTACCAGGAGCTTGGCGGCTAATATAGTCACGAACATAGAAATCTTCTACCTGTCCCCTCACTTCTTCACTTATTTTGTTGGGTCCTCCACCTGTTTTGCCCTTAAGGGTCGGGAATCACATAAGATGCCAATTTCATCACAATTTCCCGGCGTTTTCAGGCAAAACTTTCTTGATTTTTTTTAATGCCTTTCCCAGAGCTTGTGGAGTCTTGAATGCACTTGTTTCTTTCGTAGTCTTTTGTTTTCTCATTTTATTGTGATAGTCCCTTTTTCTACTAGCTTCCTTTTCTCTTCTAGCTTTTAGAACTTCCGAGGAAATGAAACCATTAAGAATTTCCTCTTCGAGAGCTTTTCTATTTTTTTTCTTATAGTTATCTTTGCTTTAAATTTTATATAGTCGTTTTGGTTTAATTTAAGGTTTTCTCTACGTTTACGGCCTCGTTCCTTTTCATTTCCTTTGGTGCGCATCTTTTTCTTTGTCTAGAACAATAATGCATCTGAGGGTGGTCTAGTGGTTAGTGCTGCTGACTACAAGCCGGAGGTCGTGGGTTCGAATCCCACCAGGGGTATGGCTGTTTATTTGTGTTTGTCCTATTGTGTATTAGTCCTTCGGGGGGGACTTTAAGCCCGCGGTCCGTTCCTACCCCTAACCCGCACAAGCCATTCAGTTGGCTTATGGAACTTCATAAGAAGTAAGGGTGGAACTAAAAGAGCACTTTTGTATATTTTTTGTATATAAGTGGGATGGACGGGACACATTTTGAGACCCGCTTTTGACAATAAACAACTTCGCCTAAATCGAAAAACAACATGAATATGTTCCGTGTCCAGCCAAATTGCAAATAACTTAAAATCATCAAAAAATCTTTCAATGATTTTTTTCTATACATGAATTATATGTTTTTTTTGGAATGGAGGGGACAAAAAAGTACTTACAAATTTCTTTTCAAATCTAAGGAAAATCACATGAAATTCGGAAATTACTTGTTAATTCCACAAAGTAGACAGCACCACAAATAACATGCCAGTGACAGAAGACGTCATCTTGTTTTTGTTTTGTCATGGCCAACTGCGAAAAGTTATTGTAAAATAAGCTCCAAAACTGTTATGTGTATGATAAATGAAGAATAAAGCGCCAAATAAATACTCTTCTACTTTTGAAAAAGAAATCATGTATTTTATGGAGTCGAGGAGCTCTCAGTTAATCACATTACAAAGAAACTTGAGATCGTGAACTTGAATATTCAAAATAACTAATAAACAACTCTCTAAAACAACTTGACTTTGCATTTTTTTAAACAATTATTAAATTTAATAATAAGAAATTTAATTAATTTAACGGTTTCCTATCAACGCAGGTTCTACTGTCGCTTTAAGTTCGACATCGACTTTAACAAAAAAAATTTAATATTAAATCGTCGTCACAGAAAAAAAATAGTGTCTTATACTCAGGTAAAAATATTAGATTTAGATGTTTTTAGATGTTTTGTTTCCATCCGCGTCAAACAACCTTGAACTAAATTCCAATAATGTTTTTCCTTTAATAATAAATAACTATTATTATTAAAACCCCTTTTGTAAGCTGTTGAAAATACTATACGACTAATCGCCGTGCTATTATTAGACTTGCAATTTGTAGAAATGTTTAACAATTGAAATATTTTCTATGGTGATTAAGTATAATTTTAATATTTCTTAAGAAATATTCTTTATCATGTACAATATTTATCAACAAATTAATGAAGTGGATGCCTACTTGAATATATATTTTTTTTTACAAAATACTAATAAGTAATATAAAATAGTAAATAAATATTACAAACTCACTAAAGTTTAGAACTTGTGCGTGAGATAATAAATACATATAATAAAAACGTAAACACAATAAATAATAAATTTAAATCTAAAACTATAGTAACGCTATTTACAATAAAGGTACCTATTATATCCATATCAAAAATAATGCTATTTACAACAAAAGTGGTGAAAAAGTATGCAATTTATTAAGAAAAAAAATTATATACAGATAGTGTACATTGGACAAGACATACATTAGCTGTTTTTAAAATCTATAAGTGATTTTATTTTATATCTTGAAGTATTTAATGTAAATAATTTAATTTCTCTCTTGAATTTTAGTTTATTTTTATTGTTTAATATAGTTTTAGGGATAAAATTAATAATTTTTGGCATACTAAACTGAAAACTACGTTGGCCGAAACTTTTTGTCATAAATGGTGCTATTTTTTGGTCTTTATTTCTAGTTTCGTATGGATGTACTCTTGGTTCTAGAATAATGTTTTTTAAATAAAAATGATTTGTTATCGCCAAAAAGTATAACTGACGGATATCACAAACGCTTATCTCAAGAAATAACTGATCGCTGGGGTATGTGTACTCTTTTTTTAACATTATTTTTAAAATCATGTTTTGTATTAATTCTACTTTATTTAAATGACAGTCAAAGGCCCCTCCCCAAGCAAGTAAACCATATCTTAAATGAGACTCCACTGAAGCATAGTATATAATTTTTAACGTGGGAATATCTAAAATATCCCTTAGAGATCTAATTTTTGAGCATATATATCTAATTTTTTTAATTAAAGATCCTATTTGAAAGTTCCATCCAAGATGCGCATCTAATTGTATACCTAGATATTTAGCTACCGAACACGATTTTATTACACTCCCTCCAAAGTCCAGATTGTTAAAGTTAGGCTTTCTAGCGGTTGATATAGAAAACGGTAAAAAGTGGGTTTTACTAAAATTGATTGATAGATCTTTAAAATCAAACCAATCCTTTAACATATTTAAATCATTATAGAAAATTGCGGTATCATCAGCATATGTAATAACTTCACCATATTTTGAGGTTTGAAATAGGCTATTTACATATACTATAAAAAGTAATGGTCCCAGGACTGTTCCTTGAGGTACACCACACTCAACAGTCAGAGACTTAATTCTAATAAAGTTTATTTCAACACATTGTTGCCTGTTTTTTAAGTAGTTTTGAATTAACTTGTAACTTTTCCCTCTTAGACCTATAGAATATAAGACATCCAACAGTTGAGAGTGGGAAACCGTATCAAACGCTTTAGACAAGTCCAAAAGGACGCATAACCCTACGTTTCCCTTATCTAAAGAATTATATATATTCCCAACTAAAAGTGATACAGCATCTTCTGTACATCTTCCTTTCATAAAACCAAATTGACGATCTGACATCAATTTATATTTATAGATAAATTTTAATATCCTGGTTTTAAATATTTTTTCAAATACTTTAGCCAGAGTTCTAATTAAAGAAATAGGCCTATAGTTAGACGTAAGTTTATTATTGCCTTCTTTATAAATGGGTTTAATAACCGCTAGTTTTAATGCCGTAGGAACAACACCTGTTTCAAATATATTATTAATTATTGCTGTAAATGGAACTAATATCGTTTCAACAATTTGCTTAAGGATTTCAGCTTTAAGGTTGTCTCGTCCGGCACTCTTTTTGTTAGGTAAACTTTTTTACCTCATTGGGATTTGTTGGTGTTAAAAACAAGGTATTTTTATTATTTTCTATGTTTTCCCTGTAAGGTTTTTTTATTATATTTTTTGCTAGATTTGTTCCAATATTCGTAAAATAGTCATTATGTGGTAGTTTATAGGCGTCTTTAACAATATTATTTTCGTATTCTATTTCTGTTATTTTTTGGGTTTGTTGTTTATTTTTTAAAGTAATATCATTAACAACATTCCACAGGTGGGACGGATTTTTGTTAGAGTTTATTTTAGTTTTATAATAGTTTGTTTTTGTTTCCTTTATAAGATTGTTTACATGGTTTTTATAGATTTTACATTCATTTTTTAAATTTTCATTCGTGGGGTCCTTTAAGATTTTGATATAATAAATCCCTTTGATTTATAGAGTTAACAAGGCCTTTAGTTATCCATTGCTTTCTTTTTATTTTATTATGTTGTACACTAACAGAATTGTTTATCAATTGTCCTTCCGCTCTTTTTTATACATATTATAAAATCATGTCTGTATTTTTAAAATAAAAGGGTTTCTTTACCAACATGCCAAAAAATTGACTTTAACCTAAAAAAGTATAAACCTCCCTTAAGATTGAAATATGAAAACTTGTAGGTGTGATAAAAAAATGACCGGTTTTTCATTAATCCAATAACGTGGTACATAAAAAGTGAAATATACATTTTGATTACAGTAAAAAACACAAAATGATTTAAATTACAACAAAAAAAAGTACCTACGTAAGCGAAGGGATTTGGTTGTCTGGGGTCGCAACATAAAAGCAAGGTAGTCTAGAGATGGATTGTGCGGGCTGAAGGGTTGCTGTTTGTAATGTATGGCCGCGTCACTTTAAAATAATGCCTTAAGTAAGATTTTGCGTTGTAAATTCCATTATCTCTTTCAAAGACATGTTCTTTATGTATCTAAATCATTATTCTTGGTTATCCGGCTCCACATTCTTTTTTCTAATGAGACAGGGATAAGTTAAACGATTTAACAAAAAATATGTCCCACGTCGTGAGCGTGATAAGACAAATTAACTGGTTTAAAATTTAAATAAAATTAAATAATTTATTGTACAAGTTGAATATTTTTTACAGGAGTTAAAATTAAAAAGTGTTCCTTAGGATTAAAAATGTATATAGAAAATTTAACAGGCGTTTAGTTTTTATGGTTTTTAAAACTTAAAATATTATAGTTATAGTAGTTTATTGATCATATATAAATTTCATAACAGGCATCATAAACATTAATAAATTATGTTCTAAAATTTTTATGAAAAAAAAATATCGTAAATAATTTGTTCTTTAAT